GGGGGCCACACCCAGCTGTTAGTGAGTGAGTGAGTTTGTGTGTGTGTGTGTGTGTGTGTGGTGTGGTGTGTGTGTTGGGGGGGGGGGGGCGGGAGGCACTAGCCTAACCCTGTGCTTGGAAGTTGCTCCTAGAAGTTCTTTTTTTTTTCTTTTTGGGTCACACCCAGCGATGCTCAGGGGTTACTCCTGGCTTTGCACTCAGGAATTATTCCTGGCAGTGCTTGGGGGACCATATGGGATGCCAGGGATCAAATCGGGGTCGGCCGCGTGCAAGGTAAACGCCCTATCCACTGTGCTATCGCTTCGGCCCACTCCCAGAAGTATTTGGGGGAGCCACGTTGTATAGGGCTCCTGCATGCGAAGCATGCACTCAGTCACTGAGTTCTCTCTCCAGCCGCCTGGGAATCTTTCCCAAGGGGCAGTTCTGGTCTGCAGCCAGGTAAGGGAGAGCTGCTGGGTGGGCCCCCTGCAGGACCCTCTAACAGTCTCTGCAGTGCCAGAGTCCCAAGCCTGCCCTGAGCACACCTCCAGCCTCCTTCAGTCCCGGGGCTCCTACGCAGACAACTCGGGTCCCCTCCCCTTGTGGACCATGGATTGAGGAGGCACCAGCCCACCTGATCCTCCCTGCTCCTGCCTGCCCCAGCGCACCCCAGGTAGAACCCCACTTTTCCCTTCCCAAAGGACCTTCGTCTTCTCTCCTCCTGGCTCTCACAAGTGCTCCAGCGCAAGTGCTCCAGCTTCTAATCCCAGTCCCTTGGGCTTTTCTCTGCGGGGAGTCAGCATCAGCTAAGGGGAGGGGCAGAGAGGATCTGTGGCAATTGTGTGGCCCCGGAGAGAGATGGGGAGCCCTCTTCCACTCTGGGGGACCACTCATTTCTGCTGGAAGCAGCAAAGCTGAAAGGGAGGTACTTGCTGGGGAGGACTAAGCCTTCAGTGATTGCCATTTAATCTTGCCCAGATTTTAAAATTCATTTTTATTTTTTGGGGCCATACCCAGCATTGTTCAGGGTTTACTCCTGGCTCTACACTCTAGGATCACTCCTGGCAGGGCTTAGGGAACCATATGGGGTACTGGGAATTGATCCTGGGTTGGCCTTGTGCAAGGCAAATACCATACCTGCTATACTACTGCTCTGATCTTTAAAAAAAAATTTTTTTTCTTTTTTTTTTTTTGGGTTGCACCAGATTATGCTCAGGGCTTAATCCTAGCTTTATGCTCCATCCCTGGTGGGGCTCTGGGCACCATATGGAGCACTGGGGATTGAACCCAAGTTGACCAAGTGCAAGGAAAGTGCCTTACCCCTGTACTCACTCTCTCCAACCTTCTCCTGCTTTTTTTTTTTTCTGAAAAAGAAGACTATACGGACCTGAGAGGTAGTATAGTCTTGTGCAGGGTTCTTGCTTTGCTTGTGGCCATAATCTACCCAGGTTCAAGCCCATCACCACATGTCCTTTATGTCACACCAGGAGTGATCCCTGAGCACTGCCAGGTATGCCCCCAAGAATCAATAAACCAAAAAACCCAACAACGCCTCTGTTTTGGGGGCCACATTGGCAGTGATGGATGGAGTAGGACTTTCCTTTGGTTTCAGGGGACAACATAGAGTCAGGGATTGAAGCTGAGGCATTCGGTTGCCTGTGCTCTCCAGCTGTGAGCCACCTCCTGGGCCTCAGTGAGTATGGAATGAGTGAAGTGAGTCTGATACCAGCCACTGAACCCCAGTGGGGAGGAACTATGTGGGGCTCTGGCTGAGGGGGAGCCCAGAGTACAGGTCGGAAATCTGTGGCCTGTGCAGACACCCCTTTTGGGTTTCTGATAGTTGGATTTTGGGGGTGTTTTATTTGCCTTCCTTACACTTTCACTGATGTGACCATGGCAGGAATGTGCACTTGGTCATGGTGCCCAGGAGCCATAGTTGCTGTGGTGCTTGATACAGCCAGGCTGCTTAAAACAGCCAGGCAGAGTGCAGGGGTCTCGACTCACTGCAGGTCCTTCTGCCTTAGTGCTGTCACCAGCTGCCTTGGACACGATGCTGGGGTAGGGGTATCATCTTGATATGTGGAGGTGAAAGGGGAGCAGTCACGTTCTTTGGGTAGAAATGACTGTGCTTTCACTCTTTTGGTTCTGCCAACTTGGTGCAGAGATGGGGGACATGTGGTGTTGGGAATCCCCCTGGGCTTCCAGGTACAAAGAATGAGCCCAGTCAAGTGGTTTTTTTTTTTTTTTTGCTTTTTGGGTCACACCCAGCAATGCTCAGGGGTTACTCCTGGCTCTGGCTCAGAAATTAGTCCTGGCGGTGCTTGGGGGTCCACATGGGATGCCAGGGATTGAACCCGGATCTACCGAGTGCAAGGCAAACATCCTACCAGCTGTACTATAGCTCTAGCCCCAGAGCCCAGCCTTTTTTTTTTTTTTCTTTTTGGGTCACACCTGGTGATGCACAGGGAGTTACTCCTGGCGGTGCTCAGGCGACCATATGGGATGCTGGGAATCGAACCCAGGTCGGCTGCATGCAAGGCACGCCCTACCCGCTGTGCTGTCTCTCCAGCCCTGAGCCCAGGCTTTTGAACTGTCTCCCTGGCAGTGTTTATATTTTTGTTTGTTTTTTGGTCACACCCAGTGGTGCTCAGGGGTCAAATCTGGGAGCTGGAGAGATAGGACAGCTGGCAGGATGCTTGCCTTGCATGAAGTTCGTTCCCTGGCATCTCATTTGATCCCAAGCACTGCCACGAGTAACTCCTGAGTGCAGAACTAGGAGTGTATAGGCAAAAACAAAACCAAAACAAAACCCTTGGGTCAGCTCTGAACTTCACCTCCAAACCAGCAGCAGGACAAACCACGGCCAGGATTCACATCCAAGAGCTCCCTAGAGCTCTTAACATAACACAGTCCTTCTTTTCTTTTTTTGAGGTGCTCACTTAGCAGTGCTCAGGGACTACGGAGTACCAGGCATCACACCTAATGCGATCAGCACCCAACATGGCTGCCACTGAAGTTGTTCCCTCAACTCTAAGCCACACACATTAGGCTGCCAAGTCACTCTCCTAGCTGTGGCTCACCCATTCTTCTGGTTGTGGCGGTCAGAGGAGGTCACACACACGATTGCGCAGCTGGGCATCCATCACTAGCTGTGACACCTTAGCTGCGGTGCTCGTGCCTACTTTGGGTTGCAAGACAGTGGGAATAAATTACTTTCAAGGCACTGGGAATTACTTGTAGCGCCAAGGATTAGATAACAGAGCTGCCAGATGGACCTATAGTGCTAAGAAAATACATCTTAAAATTAAACTTTTTTTTATTAAAAATGCACCATGATTTACAAAGTTATTCATAGTTGGGTTTTTGGATACTTTGTTCCAACATCAGTCCCGCCATCAGTGTCCTCTTTAGGAAGAAGGCTTTCTGGCTTACCCCCACAACGCCCCCCTCAGGGTAAAAAATTATCTTTTTGGTGACACCCATCGGTGCTTAGGGGTTCCTCCAGGCTGCACTCAGGAATTACTCCTGGCAGTACACCGGTACGGGGTACGGTATGGGATGCCAGGGATCGAACATGGTCTGGCCGAGTGCAAGGCAAACGCTGTCATATCGCCCCGGCCCCTCTAATTCCAGGAGTTCCTTTTTTTTTATTTTTTCCTTTTGGGTCACACCCGGCAATGCACAGGGGTTACTCCTGGCTTTGCACTCAGGAATTACTCCCGGCGGTGCTCAAAAGCCCTACCCGCTGTGCTATCGCTCCAGTCCATAATTCCAGGAGTTTCTGGCAGTGGTTGCCGGCGCTGCGTTTTCCGATCAGAACGGGTCGCGGTGTAGAAAACTTTCGAGTCGCGCTGATCTGGAACTTACTCCTCCTCCAGCTTCTCCAACAGGTGCAGCCGGCTGGCCCAAATCAACCGGCGGCACCTTGCGCCCCACCTCCGACTCCCGTCCGCACCTCGCACTGCGGCCCTGATTGGCAGGTGGGCCCGTCGCGGCGGCGGGAAAGCGAATCACAATCCTTGGGGTCCGTCCCTGCCACCACGAGGCTACACGTCACGTCCAACCAGGGCCCGGGGGCCACCACCCGCTGGGCCGGAGATGCGGGCCGAAATGACGGATCCCGGGGTCCTGCGGCCGCCCCTCCCCCGCCTCCTCTCCGGGTGGGGGTCTCGGGGCTGCGGGAGCCCAGGGCAGGGAGAAGGCGGGGCGGTCCCTCCCCCAGGGTCCCGATTGTGGGGGCCGGGGGCGAAGGTGACTCGGGTTTTAACGCGCGCGCCCCCGCGCACGGGGTAACGCGAGCTTGGGTCTCCCGCCGGGAAGGGGACCAAAGTCCTTGCTTGGGGCTGGGAGCTGCAGGCCAGTGATCCGCCCAGGGTCACGCGGCCACGCCTCTCCGGCCCCGACCCCGGCTCCCGCACCGGGCAGGGTCTCCGGGCTCCGGCCAAGAGACGTCTGGGGCCAGAGCGCGCAGGGCGCAGGGCACCCACAGCACCCGCGTCCCGAGCCGCGCGCGCGGCCCCTTTAAGAAAGTTCGCGCGGGGCCGGAGCGATAGTCCAGTAGGGAGGGCGTTTCCCTGCCCACGGCCCACCCACGTCGCTCCTCCGCATCCCTGGAGGACCCGTCGGGTGTGATTCCTGAGTGCAAGCGCAGGAGTAACCCCTGGAGCATCACCCCCAAGGAAGCCCAAAGTCAACAAACAAGAAAGTTCGCGGACCGTGTTTGTCCGTGGGAGCCTGAGACAGCGCGCGGGGAAGGGAAGGGGCGAGCCGGGCGGGCGGGCGGCGGCGGCGATTGGCTGCGCGCGCCCCGAGGGCGCCGGGCGGCGGGGCCGCGGCCGCCGGGTCCCTGCTGGGGCTGGTTCCGGCCCCCGCCCCCGCCCCGGCCAAAGGCGCAGTGAAAAGGCGCGGGCTCGGGGCTCTGCTCCGTCCACCCGCGCTGCCCCCGGCCGGCCCCCGCCCTCCCGCCTCACCCCTGCCGCCCCCCGCCGCGCCCCCGCACCGCACCGCACCGCCGCGCGCTATGAGCCTCCCGGAGCTGGACGGCGAGGACTGCCCGGACTCGGACCCCGGCGCGGGCTGCGCCCTGGAGGAAGAGGTGGGTGCAGCGGCTGGGCACGCGGGCCCCCCTCCCGGCCTTTCCCGCCGCGACCCTTCGCCGCCTGTGTCCGGCGGGTGGGCACTGTGTCTCGCCGCCCCCCACCCCCGGGCTCGGCCGGCGGGGCGTGCGCCCCGTGGGTCCCCGTGGGTGCGTGCGGCGCCGGGACCGCTACCCCGTGCAGGGCCCGGGCTCTTTCCGTGCACTTTCCGCCCGGACCCCTGGCCCGTGACCTTGGAGGCTGGGGTCGGCCGCGCGGGGAGCCCGGGGCGTGGGGGCTGGAGCGGGGCTCGGGCACGAGGTTCCTCCAGACGCCGAGGTCCGGGTCCTGCCCCCCTCCCCCCAGCTCCGCTTTCCCCGAGCCGCACGCCCGGGAGCGCCTGCCACGTGCCCCCGGGAGGAGCAGCCCAGGTGGGCGCCGGGTGCTTAGATGGGGGCGCACGTGGAGGCGGGATGGCTGGGTGGGGGGTAGCGGGGGCGGTGGCTATCGACTTGAAGACTAGGGCCGCAGAGGAAGTTGGTGTGGAAGGGGGCCAGCCTGCCCACTCCCGCGGGTGCTGGGCTCTGTTGGGGGTCAGCGCCCCTTCCTGCCCCGCGCATACATGCAGTACCGGGGAAAAGAGCCGCTTATTCTCCTTAAACTGCCTTCCCCTGGGTCAGAGGCTCAACCAACTGCCGCCTCCTCTTGCCCTGCCCGCCCGCCCCGTGGCCATGCCCTATTGGTGATGGGTGGGGGTCCGCCCCCCAGCAGCCCGGGATTGCGGCCAGCCTGTGCGCAGGTGGTGTGGCCTCTCCGAGTCGAGGTCCTGATCCCACTTTTCTTGGGTGGGGGGTTGAGGGTGCAGAGATTACATGGAAGGGAACAGGAGGGCCGATGTCTGTCCAGCTAGGCATGGACACCTGAAGTCTGCGCCCTCCCTGGACGGTGGGGACCACACCAACTGCCTTTCTTCCCTGGAATTTGGGGGCCTTACTACCACCCTGACCTTTGCTGTTCTTTGACTTCCTAAGATATGAGGGAACAGTCATTGCTGGTGCGTGGTCTTGGCCTGGCTTCCTCTGGGCCAAAACTAGGGAAGGGACCCAGAACACACTAGTGCTAGGGGGACCTCACACCTCCCACGCTTTGAAGTGGACCCCACACCTGCCTAGGTTTTGAAGATTGCATTTGGATGTTAGTCACTTTTTTCTGAGGATGAATCCTCAAGCCCTGGCATTCCATGGACTCTGCTCCTCTGAGGCCCCTGCTTTCCACGGGCAGTCTTCTCCGTGGGCTGTCCCATGGACTGGGAGCTTTCTGTGGACTGTTTTCTCCTCAGGGAACTGTCTGCTTTTTGTGGGGCGCAGGTGAACCTCTGTGTGTCCTGGATGCAGGAGATCTGGGTGCATCTTTGACCAAGGTCATACTATACTAAGGGTCTTAGAGCCACCAAACCCCCCCCATCCCTTGCCATGCTCCCCCCCACCCCCCAGCCTACTCTGCTCAGATGGTCACAAGGGCCCTTTGGGGTTGTCTGAGAATGGTGGTCCGAGCCGGAGCTAGACTCTTTCACTTCACATGGCTGACTCTGAGGCCTTTCCTTGGGCAACCCTCCTCGGGAGAGGCTTGCTGGCGTGGTTTCCTTTTATCGGTGGGAATTCTCTTATTAAGCTGCTTGGTGTAGACCTGACTCCCTGTTTGCCCACCAGACCCTCTGTGTGTGTGTGTGTGTGTGTGTGTGTGTGTGTGTCTCGGATGCAGTCTTAAGTGTTAGGTCCCTTTTCTGGACCAGGGCCTCAGGGATACAGGTGGACGGTCTCAGACAGGAGGTGAGCACTGAGCTGTGAGCTGCAGTGAGATGAAGGTGTGTCATCTCAGGACACAGCCATGGCTAGGGAGTGAGGCCATAGACTGGAGGGAACGTTCCCAGGGCAGGAACTGACCTGCAGGAGTCAGGTTCACAGCAGGCCATGTGACTGGTTGGGATCACCACCAGGAGATTTTTTTCTGTTGGCAGCAGTATTGAGGCCATACTATGAAGACCCTGACGTCAGGAACTGTGGGTGTGGGGGCCGGGGAGGGGGCAGAACTGACTCTTTTCCCACTAAGGATGGAGTTGTTAGAAGCTTTAGGAGGGCGGTGAGAAGTGGTGTAGATGTGGCCTCTGCCTATCTAGGCTGGGATTTCTGGTGCTAGAACTGTCAGTGAAGGAATCTGACACCCCCTGGAATGTGAGCCCTGCTCAGTCGGGCTTGCTGCTGGATCTATAGCCTTGTCTTGTCTTAGCCATTGTTGTGGGTGGCTAGACAGTCACAGCCCATAGCTTGAAGATATTGGGGCTGGAGAGAAGTACAGCAGGAGGGAGGATGCTTGGCTTGCATGTTTTGGACCGGGTTCAGTCCCTGGCACCCTCAGCCCACCAGGAGTGATTTCTGAGTGCAGAGCCAGGAGTAAGTCCTGAGCACAGCCAAGTGTGGCCCCAAAACAACAAAAAGGAAATCTGTGCCAAGTTTATGCAGAAGAGACTAAGATTAAGCTACGGTTTTTTTGTTTGTTTGTTTTTGTTTCCTTTTTGGGTCACACCCGGCAATGCGCAGGGGTTACTCCTGACTCTGCACTCAGGAATTCCTCCTGGCGGTGCTCAGGGGACCATATGGGATGCTGGGAATCGAACCCGGGTCGGCCACGTGCAAGGCAAATGCCTTACTCTCTGTACTATTGCTCCAGCCCCTAAGATTCAGTTGTTAATTCTTTGGGGGTCCCCTGAAGGGAGGGTGGTCTTTGAAGTCTTAAGTTGTGTGTGTATTGGGCGGGGCATATACTTAAGATTTTTGAGGTCTAGCCTTTTTGGGGGGAAGTGGCACACACTCAGGGCTTACTCCTGGCTCTGTGCTTAGGGATCACTCCTGGTGGGGTTCAGGGGAATCCTGTATAGTGCTGGGGATCGAACCCAGCCTGAGTTTTGGCGATTTCATGCTGGCCTTAGCATTTCACTCTCCAAAGGCCACAGGTGGATGGCAGCTGGTGGCTTGGCCTGAGGGGCCCCAACCTTGGCTGTCCTCCCGTCCCTTCTTTTCTCATCCACTGCAGTGTGCCAAGTGTGTGCATGGCCTGGTACTCCTCTAGGGGTCTCTGTGGAGTGACCCAGCAGGCCAGGCCAGGGGGAGCACTCTGGAGGGGTGGAAAGGAATTTTTGGGAGTCCATTCCCCTTTTCTCTGTCATCAGCAGCATTCCAGGGGGCAGCCAGCTGAGTGGGGTGGGAGGGGTTTGGTGCTTCTGACCTTGTACCAGAAATGGAGCCTGGGGGATTCTGGTGGGTCTAAGCCTCCCATGTTACTGTGAACCCCGGGGTGTGTTGCTGGCCTGCACCCTCCCCTGTCCTGGGAGCACTGTGGAGCATTTGCTTGTTGCCACTTTGGTGTTTTTTTTTTTTGTTTGTTTGTTTTTTTTTCTTTTTGGATCACACCCGGCGATGCTCAGGAATTAACCCTGGCAGTGCTCAGGGGAGCATATGGGATGCTTGGGAATTGAACCTGGGTCAGCCGTGTGCAAGCAAACACCCTACCGGCCGTGCTAGTAAGGAGGAAACAGGCTCAGGGGGAAACTCTTTCCTTTGTTCCCGCACCTGGCGTGCCCAGGGGTTTACTCCTGCTGAGGCTTGGGGCTCCTACATGGTGCCAAAGTGAACCTGCAAGACAAGCACGTTGATGGTGCTGTTTCTCTGGTCCGTCTTTAATTTATAGGTGCTCCCCGCCTGCCATCGTTGGGGAGTCCCGAACGTTCTGGCAATGTTCAGGGGTCATCAACGCTCTGCCTGGTGGACAGCTGATGGTGCCTGGGGCTTTGTCGTGCCTGAGACGGAACTGGGACTGTGTGTGTGTTCTGCTCTGGCGCTATCTCCTTAGTCTCCTAAATGACTTATTGATTCATTGATTTTTGTCTACCCAGGGCATTGTGCTGGGAACTTGAGCTTTTCCTTTTCTCCTTTTTTTGTGTTTTTGGGTACTCACAGGTGGTGCCTGTGATTCGAATCAGGGTCAGCTGGAAGCAGCTGCAGCGAGGCGAGCCCCTTTCCTCCTGCGCTCTCTCGTTGCCCTGCAGTCCTCGGCCCCTTTCCTGCTCAGTCCTCGAGGGACACCGTGGGCTGTGATCTTTGTACTCTGGTTCTGGGAATCCCATCCAGACCCATCACTTCTGTGTTTATTGGGGGTGGGGCCACACACAGCTGTGCCCAAGGCTTATTCCTGGCTCTTGGGGTTCATATGGGGTTCCAGAGATCGAATTTGGGTCGGCCACGTGCATGGCAAGAGACTCACCACCCTGCGCTCTCTCGGGCCCCGGTTTCCATTGTTCCTTCTCCCTCTGCCTCCCCTTCCCTTTGTTGCTCTGGGGGTGTTGGGATTGCTGTGGGCTGCACACATGTGGGCGGTGCTCTCTGAGGTTTGCACTCCTGAGCCTGTGCGTGTGCTTGTCAAGGCTCACACTGTCCGTGGTGGTGCGTGGGGTATGACCATGCTTGCTGGCGGTCACTGCTGGCTGTGGTGCGGTCACAGTGGCTGTGGCACGCACACACCTGTGGGCCTGTGTGCTGGGTGGCGCTGGGCGGCGCTGGGCCTTGTAGGCGCACACCTTCCTGAACCCATCTGCAGATATGGGGCAACCCGGGTGACATCTTTTTGTTTGTTTTTCTTTTGGGGTCGCACCCAGCTGTGCTCAGGGCTGACTCCTGGCTCTGTGCTTGTGGCTCAGCGGACCGTATGGGGGTGGGGCTGGGGAATGACCCAGGTCTGCTGCAGATGTCCTCCCTGCTGTGCTATTGCTCTGGCCCTGGGAATTGGCATCTTGGTGCTCGAGTTTGCTCTTAGTGGCTGCGCTGTCCTCTGGGAAGGGAATTGTGTGCATGTGTGTATGAGCGTGTGTGACTATGTGTGTGTCTATGAGAATGTGTGACCATGTCTGTGTGTGAGTGTATATGAGCACGAGCATGTATAAGTGTAAGTGACCGTGTGTGTGTATGAGCATGTTAAACATATGAGTATGTGTGAGTGTATGTGAGAATGCGGGGCCATGTGTGCATATGTGTGTGTGTGTGTATGAGCACGTGTGACCACATGAGAGTGAGTGTATGTGAGCATGTGTGACTGTGTACATGTGAGTATGAGCATGTATGACTGTGTGTGCTTATGAGCATATGTGAGTGTATCTGAGCATGTGTGACCATGTGTGCTTGTGTATATAAGTATGTTTGACCATGTGTATGCGTGTGAGTGTATAGGAGCAAGTGTGTGTATGTGAGCATGTGGGAGTGTGTGAACGTATGTGAGCATATATGACAGTGTTTGCGTGTGTGTGTGCGTGGAGAACTTGCACCCGACTTTGGGCCCATCCAACATTGTCCAGAAGTCGCATGTGAATTATAGGTCGTAGGAGAGAGGCCCCTGTTCAGGCGTGACCCCAGCTTTGCTATTGCCAGTGCCTGAGCTGTGAGCTGGTGGTTCTGCATTGTCCCGCCTGGGATCCAGGGCCGTGGGATGACGGGCCGGCCTGAAGCTTGGAGCTTTGTGCCCGACCCTGCAACATGTGACTCAGGCCAGAGTCCGTGGCAGGAGCAGACCCTGGGCTGGGCCTCGGCCCCTGAGTCTCCTCCCCCCAACCGACAGATCTGCTCTTGCTGTTCTGCTCAGGCCTTATAAGCTCAGGGCCGCTGGTGGCCGCATTCCAGCCTCTGTCAAGTGGACCCACTATCGCCCCGCACCTCCCTTCTCCTGGCTGAGACCTGACGGGGTGGGAGGATGGGGTGAGGGTGACAAGACATTGTGGGGTCTGTTTGGCCCCAGTGTTGCCCTAGTAGAGACCCTCTGCTCTGTGGGGTCTGACTTCTGACGCTTAATACACTCCTGTGCCTCAGGTCTGTCCCCTCATCCCTGTCCTCCTCCCTCCCAACCCCTCACCCCATCTCCTCACCCCTGCCCCCTCTTGCCTCCTTCACCCTCGACCCCCTCTCACTCCTAACACACTCAAGCTCACCCCACAACCTGCACACGTCACTCCCGCCCCCTCACCCCTTCCGCCTCATACCTGCCCCCTCCTGTCTCCCTTCACTCCCACCCCTCACCCCTACATCCCATACGGTCCCCCAAACCCCACCAGGATCAATCTCTTGAGTGCAGAGCCAGGAGTAAGCCCTGAGCAACACTGGGTGGGGGCTGTGGGGACCCAGGAGCTAGAGCAGGATGCGGTGGGCAGGGGTTGTTTCCTGCATGGGGATCCCACGTGCCCTCTGTCTGCTAGTTCCCTCTGGTTCTGTCCCCCTAGCTCTGCCGTCCTGTTCTCTGTCATCCTGAGCTAGGACCTGGGGGTGGGGTGGGGGGAGCCTGGGGCTGCTGCCTTGGTGACTGGGCTGACCTGGCTCTGCCTGGCCCCTCCCTCATTCCTAGCAGAGCCCATGGCCACCCTGCGCCCAGCTTGTCCCCTGGGGAGGCGGGTGGGAGCTTTCTGTGCCACTTTGGATGCTTGGACCCTCAGAGAGAGCAGTTGGGGTGAGGCGGGGCTGGACTGAGTCCCGTCCTGGTCGTACTAAGAACTCGACTTTCAGAGGCCCCTGGGGAGTGGCTGGAGGGGCCTCTTGAGGGAGGATTAAAAATTATCCTGAGGGGCTGGAGCAATAGCACAGCGGGTGCACAAGGCTGACCTGGGATCGATTCCCAGCATCCCGTATGGTCCCCTGAGCACTACCAGGAGTGATTCCTGAGTGCAGAGCCAGGAGTAACCCCTGTGCATTGCCGGATGTGACCCCCCCCCAAAAAAAAGAAAATTAGCCTGAGGTGTGGCACCCACGGGTCCACTGAGGCTGGGCCCAGCTGTTCTCACAGAAGAGGGAACCACTGGCTCCATCCCCACGGCTGGTAGTTGGTTTTTATTTTTTTACAGGGGGTTCTGCACCCACCCCAGGACTTGGGGTGACCCGTGGCAGTGCTGGGGAGCACACGGTGCCCGGGATCGAGTCTGGGCATCCTGTGGCAAAGCATGTGTTCATCCTTTTTTGGCCACGCCCAGCGGTGCTCGGGGCTTACTCCTGCTCTGTGCTTGGGGATCACTCCAGGTGGTGTTCCTGGGACCATACAGGGTGTCAGAATCCAACCTGGGTGGGTGGTGTCTCCAGCATGTGCCTCCCCAGCTGTGGAGGCGCTTGTTCAGTCCCATCTCCATGGGGGGTGCCCAGGTGTTGGCTCCCCAAAGCTGCCATCACTTTGTGTAGCTTAGTCGGGTTTGAAGACAGCTTGAGTTTCTTTGTGTGTGTGTGTGTGTGTGTGTGTGTGTGTGTGTGTGTTTGTGTTTGGCTTTTGGGTCACACCTGGCAATGCTCAGGTGTTACTCCCGGCTCTGCACTCAGGAATTACTACTGGTGGTGTTCGGGGGACCATAAGGGATGCCGGGGATTGAACCCTTTGGGCCTCATGCAAGGCAAATGCCCTACCCACTGTTGTGTTTCTCCACAGGCTGTGGGGCTGGAGATGGCTGTGGGGCTGAGAACAAGCTTTCCAGGGCGGGGGAGGTCCCAGGTTTGATGTCTGGTACCACCTGAGCACCACTGAGCATGGCCCCAAAATGAAATGGAATTTTATTTATTTTTCTAATGGAGAGGGTTGGGCTACACCCAGCAGAGTTCAGGGCTTTCTCCTGGCTCTGCACCCAGAGATCACTTCTGACAGGCTCGGGGGACCATACCGGGGCCAGGGGTTGAACGGATACGATCACTCCAATCCCAGGAAGTGAAATTTTATAATGAAGAAAGGAGAGGTGTGGGAGATCGTACAGCAGGTCACACTGGGGGAAGCTGTGTCAGATACTCGTTCGGTCTGTTCCTCAGAAAGTGTGGTTCTAGGGGGTGTGTGTCTGGGTGTCTGGCTGTGCGTCCCCTTTAGGGGGGATGGTGAGTTAGTGGATGCGTGTGCAGGGGTGTGCAGAGCCTTGTTAGCTAAGCTGCTCTCTGCCATCAGCCCCAGCTGTTTTTTTTCCTTTGGGGTGGGGGTGAGGATTGGGCTAGATGCCCAGTGTTTCGGACACTGCCTCCTGGGTTTGTGCTCAGGGGTTACACCAGGTGGAACTTTCCAGTGCTGGGGATTCGATCCCGGTTGGCCATGTGCCACAGTCCTTGTACCCTCTGCCCCCAAAGCATGTTTCAGTGCTTCTGACCTTGACACCTGTGTCCGAGTAACCCTTTGGGCGGGTTGCTTACTGGAGCTCTGGGTGCTGTCGATGGCGCACCCTGCCTCCCCAGTGAGGGACACGCTCTGGCCTCGTGGCCTCGCCCACTGTCCAGGTCAAGCCCCCTGCTTGCTGTCTGACCTGGCTTTGCCACTAAGGGCCAGCTTGTGGCTAACAGAGTCATCAGCCTGCCTCGAGTCTGGGGTCTCCTCATGCTTCAGCACCCAGCGTGGTTGTCCCCACTCAATCCCTGGCCTGTGGCCCAGCCTTCAGCCTTGGGGATCACTCAGGAACAGCTCTGTGCAGGGTGGGATCCAGCACAAGGCCAGAGGAGGCAGGAGGGTGGCATGTGACTGGCTAGAGTTCTGTCTCCGGTATCTTGTAGGGATCTTGTAGGGCCCCTCGAGTCTCCCAGAAGTGATCCCTGAGTGCAGAGCCAGGTGCAGCCCTGAGTGCTGCCAGAATGCCTCGTGCACCCTCCCCCTCCCCACAGACCGAGGTCCCAGCTCTGCAGGCTGCCTCCGGAGCAGGAGGGGTGGACAGGGATGTCGAACTGGTCAGAAGTGCCTCCAGGTACAGCAGCCACTGCGCTTCCCTTCCCCTGACTCTCCTTCCCCCGGACCTGGACCCAGCGGCCGAGGCTCTAACCAGGTTCCGGGTATCTTTCACCCCACCAAAAAAAGTTTTTGCTGTGTAGTTGGTCTTTTTTTTCTTTTCTTTTTGGGTCACACCCGGTGATGCACAGGGGTTACTACTCCTGGCTTATGTACTCAGGAATTACTCCTGATGGTGCTCGGGTGACCTTATGGGATGCTGGGAATCGAACCCGGGTCGGCTGCGTGCAAGGCAACAGCCCTCCCTGCTGTGCTATTGCTCCAGTCCTTGCTGTGTATTTGCGGGGGGAGAGATGTGGCTTTCTTCATTTCATCGGAGAGGCCCTTGATTGAAGGTCTGTGGCCTCACCTATGGGGCTGAAGCTTTCTTTGGCTCAGGCCAGATAGATCCTGGAATGAGGAAAGTGCCCAGAGAGGCATTGGGGGTGTTCCCTGTGGTGTCTATGTGTGGAGGCTGTAGTGCCCGCAGTTTCTCCATGTTCTCCCGGCCTGCATCTGCCCTGGCCTGAGCCCGGCTCTCTCTTCTTTCTGTCCCAGGTCCGGACGCTGTTCGTCAGTGGCCTCCCTGCGGATGTCAGGCCCAGGGAACTCTACCTCCTCTTCAGGCCCTTCCAGGTGAGTGAAGGCCTGGGGGGAAGCTGGGATACGAGGTGGGCTGAGTTGGGACCCCCGGGCCCCAGAGGGCGCTCATGTCTGTTCCCATCCCGGTCACTAAGCCCCATCACAACAGACTGTCAGACGCTATGATGGTCTGGCTGTGAAGACTTAGGAGGGCTCCATATTCACACCCCCCAGTTTTGTTTTTGCTTTTTGGGTCACACTCGGCAACACACAAGGGTTACTCCTGGCTCATGCACTCAAGAATTACTCCTGGCGGTGCTCAGGGGACCACATGGGATGCTGGGAATCGAACCCGGGTCAGCTGCATGCAAGGCAAATGCCCTACCCGTTGTGCTATCACTCCAGCCCCCACATCTCCCAGTTTTTTTTTTTTTTTTTTTTTTTTTTTTTGTGGAGCAGGGAAACAAAATAGTTATTTTAATTTAAGTCCCAGTTTCATGACATTGCTACTTGCATAATAGCTACACATGTTCCTTAACAAGTACTGTTTTTATTTAAGAGTAAAATAGAAAAAGATTTTTAAGTTTTATATGTACTGGTTTCAAATATTTTTTACTGGAATCTCCCAGTTTTTATTTGTCCTGCTGTGTGGGCCTCCAGGTGCCCCTGCACAGGGGAGAGTACGGGGATGGGGTGCAGCTGACGGGAACCCCTCTCTCTGCAGGGCTACGAAGGCTTCCTCATCAGGTTCATCTCCAGACAGGTAACTGTCCTCCCCGCGCTTCTTCCTTCCAGCTCAGTCCAGTCTCAGCCTGGCCCTGCTCCGGAGAGTCAGGGGTTGGCCTCTCCTTAGCCGTGAGGCACTTCCGTGGCTTCTCACGGGACAGATGTCCCTTGCAGGTCTGAGGCCATTGTCCATTGTCACAGGGTGGCCTGAACCACAAAGGGAGAATGAAAGAAATGAAATCCCGGTAGCCCCGTGTGCCCCAGCCCTTGGAGCTGTCTCTTCCCAACCCCTGGGTCTTTCTGTTGTTGGTTTGGGTTTGGGGGCAGTGCTCCTGGCTCTGTGCTCGGGGATCATACGGGATGCCGGGGATCATACATACCCAGGCTGGCCGCGTGCGAGGCAGCAGCCCTCCCTGCTCTCCCGTCACTCTGGCCTTGAGGCTCTTTGCTCTTTTTGCCCATGGTGTGGCATTGGGGTGGGAATCTTCAGCTCTGTGCATGAAGACTCTTTCTCTTCCAGTTGAATATGGGGGTGTGGGCAGGAGTTGGGGGGCTTTCTGCCCTTCTCTGTTGTGAACTCTGTCGAGCTCTGCAGGGAGCCGTGGTGCCTGGTCTGGGCTGTGGGCGAGACAGGAGGTTTTCTCTCTCCCAAACTAGCCTATCGGTTTTGTGGTCTTCGACAGCCGGGTGAGAGCCGAAGTGGCCAAGAATGCCTTGAATGTGAGTAGAGCAGACCGCTCGAGGGGTCCCTGTCCCTCTGCAGAGCTGCCCCGGGACAGGCCCTGCAGGTGGCCTCCCCCGGCCTCCCTGTCTGCTGGACTCTGTCGCTTGCCAGGCCTGAGGCCTCCCTTGCAGGTGAGCAAGTCTCCTTCCTTCCTCTGCTTCTTCTCAGGGCATCTGCTTTGATCCCGAGAACCCACAGACCCTGAAGCTAGAGTTTGCCAAAGCCAATACCAAGATGGCCAAGAGTAAGCTGAAGGGCACACCAAACCCTAGCAGCACCCACCCTGCCCTCGGTGCACACGGCACCACCCGCGACCCCTGTGAGTGGCAATGGTGTGACCTGGGACCGCGGACGGGTGTCAGGTGGAGGGTGTCTGTTCAATCCCTCTCCCAGGGGGCTTCTCTCTCAGTCTGGGCTGCATGACGGGGCCTCCTCGCCCTACTGCCTTCCAATTCCCGCGCTTCTGCATCACCAGCTGCATTCACAGAGTGTGTTGGGGATGGAGGGTATGTGTGTGTACAAGGCTCCTGTGTGTATGTGTGAGTTTGTGTGTACAAGGCTCCTTTATGTGTGTGTGTGTATGGTCATGTGTACAAAGCTCCTCTGTGTGTGTGTACAGGTCTCCTGTGTGTGTGTACAGGGTTCCTGTGTGTGTTTGTGTATAGGGCTCCTGTGTGTGTGTGTGTATAGGGCTCCTGTGCGTGTGTGTCTGTGTGTGTACAGGGCTCCTCTGTGTGTGTGTGTGCAGGGCTTCTGTGTGTGTGTTTTTGTGTGTATATATACAGGGCTCCAGTGCGTGTTTGTGTGTCTGTGTGTGTACAGGGCTCCTATGTATATGTGTTTGTGTGTGTGTATGTACAGGGCTCCAGTGTGTGTGTGTGTGTGTGTGTGTATGTGTTTGTGTGTGTGTACAGGACTCCTGTGTGTGTGTATACAGGGCTCCTGTGTATGTATATAGGGCTCCTGTGTGTGTTTGTGTGTGTGCACCTGTGTGTGTACACGGCTCCAGTGTGTGTGTGTGTGTGTGTGCGCGCGCACGTGTGTGCATGTGAGCACCTGCACACATACCTCCTCTCTCGAGACTCCCCTGAGTTGGCCTCTGCACCCCATCTCAAGCTGGGAGCCCAGCGTCCTCACAGGCTCTTGTATCTGCAGATGACCTGATAGGGGCTACCCTGATCTCCACGTCCCCCTACGCCTGGACCCCCTATCACCTGTACACCACAGAGCTGGCCCCCGCCATCTCCCACACCTCATTACCCTACCCAGCGGGCACTGCCGCCACCACTGCCGCTGCCCTGCACACACAGGTGAGCTCTGACACATGGGGGAGTTGGGACTCTGTTGTCCCTCCATGCTGACACCCCCTTTCTTGGAGTAGAAAGGGGCACAAAGCTGGTGGGGAGGAGGCCTGGACTTGTGTGTGCTCACACCCAGCCCCCCTGTGGCCTGAGGCCTCTCTGCAGGTGTTGTGGGAAACTCCGGGCACTCTACCCGGGCCAGTGAGTTGAGGTGCTGGTATGCCGGGTCATGCTGCTGCTACGCATTTGCGTGTTAGCATGCCAGGACACGCTGTTTGAGCGTGTCTCATGTTTGTGGGGGGTCACTGCTGTTTTCAGCATGGGAGAAGTGGGGTCTATTCTTCAGGAAGTTTGGAAGGGGCTCTGGGACTGCAGAGAGGACCAGCCCAGCACAGGGTGGGGGCAGAGGGGAGTGAGGGTCTGGATCTACCGGGGCTCAGTCCCCTTGGCTCCTGGAACCCAGTGGTCCCTGCCTTCACCCAGGCCCAGGCAGGAAGGTTTCGATTTGGGATGACTCTTTTATATATATATATATAATATATATATATATATATTTTGGGGGGTCACACCTGGCAATGCTCAGGGGTTCCTCCTGGCTCTGCACTCAGGAATTACCCCTAGCGGTGCTCAGGGGACCATATGGGATGCTGGGAATTGAACCCGAGTCGGCTGCGTGCAAGGCAAATGCCCTGCCCGCTGTGCTATCACTCCAGCCCCTGGGGCGACTCTTTATTTATTTATTTATTTATTTATTTATTTATTGAATCACTGTGGGAAAGGTTACAAAGCTTTCAGGTTTATGTCTCAGTCATGCAAATATCAAACACATTTCCCTTTACCAATACTTATTTTTTACCCTGAAGAACCCCAATAAAACCCCACCCCCCACCCCTCCCCGTCCCTGTGAGGCAGATGAATTCTAGTTAACACTCTATCTGCTTTGATTAGATTCATTATTTCATTAAGATTCACCACTATTATTTAGAGTTTACCCCCCCCCCCCCCAAAATCAGACATGCTGAAAAAGCATTGTGAAGTGATTTGCTTTCTACAGCTGGGTTCAAGAATTAAATGTTGGTTTTGGATTTCTGCTATTTTACCTATTGACCCTGGAAGTATTTCTACTGAAAGTCAGATAGTTAAGAAATTGGTTTCTGTGTTCTGGAGTCGTGGCCGTGCTGGAGAGCCGCTCGCGGGGGGCAACCGGTGGCCTCGGTAGGGCGTGAAGGGCGGAGCGAAACGCCCCCCTTCCCATGAGGTTTTAGTCACCCCCACACTCCCGGCTCATACCTGCTGTCCACAAGGCTCCCATGTGGCCGCCATCTTTCTTTCCAGAGAGGAGAGGGCGAATGGGGCAACACCCTTTCCCCTCCGGCAGACTTGATGGCCTGGATCAATGCATAGTCCGTTCACTTTTCTGCTCCAAGCTGCTGGGTTCTGCATTAAGTCCTTGTGCTTCTGGGGCCATGGCCGTGCTGGAGAGCCGCTCACGGGGGGTGACTGGTGACCTCGGTAGGGCATGAAGGACAAACCGGAACGCCCCCCGACCCATGAGGTTTTAGTCGTGGGGCGACTCTTGAGACAGATTCTTCCCCAGCAGTGGCTTCTCCTTGCCAGCTGGGGGCTGCTGAATTTAGCCCTGCGCCCCCCTCCCTGCTGCCCCCCCCTTCCCCCTACCCCCCCATAGGCGAGAACAGCATCCCAGGCACCTAGAGGACAGCATGTGGCCTCCTTCCTGGTCTATCCTCTGCCTAGCTGTGTGCAGGCCGGTTCACAGCCTGTAGAGCCCCTTTGTCATCTCTTCCCCTCCTTGGGCCCCCCCTTTTTTTTTTTTTTGCTTTTTGGGTCACACCCGGCGATGCTCAGGGGTTATTCCTGGCTCATGCGCACTCAGGAATTACTCCTGGCGGTGCTCGGGGGACCATATGGGATGCTGGGAATCGAACCAGGGTTGGCCATGTTGGCTGTGTGCAAGGCAAATGCCCTACCCACTGTGCTATCGCTCCAGCCCCCCCCCCCTTTTTTTTAAACACTTAAAACCACATGGGAGTGTAAAATTGTAACAAATAGATTAATACTCTTCATCCTCATCTTCTCCATCTGCACTATCTGCTCCGACCTCTTCATAATCCTTCTCCAGGGCGGCCATGTCCTCACGGGCCATGTCCTCACAGGCCTCAGAGAACTCTCCCTCCTCCATGCCCTCACCCACGTACCAGTGAACAAAGGCACACTTGGCATACATCGGATCAAACTTGTGGTCCAGGCGGGCCCAGGCCTCAGCAATGGCTGTGGTGTTGCTCAGCATGCAAACAGCCCGCTGCACTTTGGCCAGGTCCCTACCAGGAACCACAGTGGGAGGCTGGTAATTAGTACCAACTTTGAAGTCAGTGGGACACCAACCCACAACCTGGATGCTGCACTTGGTCTTGATGGTGGCAATGGCAGCAGTGACATTTTTGGGAACCACGTCATCACAGTACAACAGGCAGCAAGCCATGTATTTACTGTGGTGAGGGTCACATTTCACCATCTGGTTGGCTGGCTCAAAGCATGCATTGGTGATCTCTGCAACAGTGAGCTGTTCGTGGTAGGCTTTCTCAGCAGAGATGACGGGGGCGTATGTGGCCAGAGGGAAGTAGATTCGGGGTGGGGCACCAGGTTGGTCTGGAATTTGGTCAGATCGACATTCAGGGCCCCATCAAATCAGAGGAAGTTGTGATGGAGGACACAATCTGGCTAATAAGACGGTTCAGATTAGTGTAGGTTGGCGCTTGATATCAACGTTTCTATGACAGGTGTCACAGATGGTCTGATTGTCCACCATGAAGGCACAATCAGAGTGCTCCACGGTGGTGTGGGTGGGAGGATGGAGTTGTAGGACTCCACCACAGCAGTGGACACCTGTGGGTCTGGGTCAGTGGAGAACTCCAGCTTGGACTTCTTGCCATAGTCGACGGAGAGATGTTCCATCAGCAGGGAGGTGAACCCAGAAATGGTTCCTCCCCTAATGCTGTGGAACACCAGGAAGCCCTGAAGCCTGGTGCACTGGTCAGCTAGTTTCCGAATTCCGTCCAAGATGAGGTCAGTGATCTCCTTGTCAGTGGTGTAGTGGCCACAGGCATAGTTATTGGCAGCATCTCCCTTGCCTGTGATGAGCTGCTCAGGGTGGAAGAGCTGGCAGTAGGTGCCAGTGCGAGTTTCATCAATGACTGTGGGCTCCAAGTCTACAAACACTGCCCTGGGCACATGCTTGCCAGTGCCCGTTTCACGGAAGGAGGTGTTGAAGGAGTCATCTCCTCCCCCAGTGGTCTTGTCACTGGGCATCTGGCCATCGGGCTGGATGCCATGTTCCAGGCAGTAGAGCTTCCAGCAGGCATTGCCAATCTGGACACCAGCCTGGCCAACGTGGATGGAGATGCACTCATGCATGATGAGGACTTGCCAGGTTCCAGTTCAGAGTCGAGGGTCTCCCACTAGAAGTCTACCAAGGAGTCAGGAGGAGAAGCAGTGAGCTCCTTGGGCCCTTTTTTGTTTGTTTGTTTTTATGCCCCACTTGGTGATGCTCGGGTTTTACTCCTGGCCCTGTGCTCAGGGACCACTCCTGGTGGATACTGGGGGTGCCAGGGATTGAACCTGGATCAGTGGATGCAAGGCCAGTGCCTTAACCCCAGTGCTCTTTGGAGTTCATAGAACATAATATAACTTAACATTTTCTGAAATGCTTCACATTAGAGTTACTATACTTTTTTTTGAAATATAAAGTTGTTCACAATAGTTCATTACAGTTAATATTCAAACACCAATCCCATCCCCATGCACCTTTGCACCAGCATAAGAGGAAAGTGTGTGAAGATTGTTGTATTTCATCTTGGAGCTATTTAAGCCCCTATAAGAGAATACAAGCATGTATGTTAAACCCAAACAAGTATGTGATACTTTTGGTACATTAGTGGGCTAGAGTCTAAGAGGTCCAGGACATTCTATGTCGCTCTCTCCTGGGAGCTTTATTTCATAGTCTCTGGGTCTTGGCCATTGATGAGATTCTATGGTGCCAGGGGCAGTTTGTGGGTGTTACTGCCAAGCTACTGGAAAATTGGAAAGCTGGGGGAAGGAGGCCCAGTCCTGTTCCCAGTGAGCTTGGAGATCTCAGTCACGGGTCCCACATACCTGGGTTTTTCTGCAGGTTCCCCCATAGGTGAGTCTCATCCAAGCCCGTGGAGAGCAGCCCTGGGCATGGCTGTATGGTTGGTTGGGTTTTGGAGGTTTTAGGTTGCCAGGGTTCTGCTTGGCGGGGAGGGAAACTCAACCCGCCCCACTTCAAGTTGCCCCAGTGAAGACAGCCTGGCATGGGGTCAGGACTGAATTGCTCCACTGTTGATCTCTGTTTGAAAGATATTCTGTTTTGATTTTGGGGCCTATCAGACAGTACTCAGGGGTTACTCCTGACTCTGTGCTCAGGGATCACTCCTGGTAGTGCTCGGAGAACCATATGTGTTGCCAGGAATTGGATCCCGGTTGGTCACATGCAAGCAGCATGTTACCTGCTGTGCTATGGCTCCCACCCCTCCTTGCACCCTTGACCCTTTGGGAAGCGGGCTGGGCCTTGCTCTCCTGGCGTGGGATGGACAGTGACGCCTGGAGGTGACTGCCTGGCCGCTGCCCATCAGGGAGCCCCTGGAGCTCACTCCTGATGCCGCCTCTCCTGCAGGCACGCTGGTGCCCGACCTCTGACAGCGCCCAGCAAGGCTGGAAGTTTCACCAGTTCTGCTAGTGTTGTGGTGAGTGCCAGCATAGCACCAGCCTGCACGGTCTCCACTCCTCTCTGCTCCCCACCCCTTCTCTGGTCAGCTCACAGCCCCTGTCCCTTCCCCCCTCCCCTGCAGGTACCTTCAGGCCACTCTGCCCAGTGCCTCCAGGGAAGAAACCAGCAGCCCCGGTGCCCCCAGGGAGCCTGTGGAAAGCTCCTTCCGTCTGGTCCGAATCTCAGTGGACTGTCCTGTCCCCTCCCCTACCTCTAAGCTCTTCCACAAGGCCGTTCTGGAAGGGTCCAAGGCCTGCTTTGGAGCCCACCTCATGGGGACAGGCTCACGGTTCCCTCTTCTGGCATTAGCATGACAGTCACCTCGTGTGTGCACGAGTACAGGGTTCTCACCACGTGTCATCTGGCAGCAGGTCCCACCTTCATCCTGCATCCCTGCACCATGAGCATCCCTGTCCCATGCCCCTCCTTCCATGGATAGGCCCTGCAGCTGGCCTCCCTGGTACCCCCCTTTCCCCCCCACTCCCACCCCACTTGCGGGCTGAGCAGGAGCCGAGATGGTGTTTGCTTTTCATTTCCTCCTCCTAGGGGCCACGCTGACAGGAAGCATCCGGTCACTCACTCCCTCTAGCGCATCCTACCGTGATGGACCTCACCCCTGTCTGGTTATTATTTCCAGACTTCACAACCAACCAGAAAGCCAGCATTTTTTGGTACCCTGTGTAGCAAACTGGTTGTGTATCCTGAAGGGTTTTTCATGTGCAATTAATCAATTATTGAAGAGACCTCATTCCCCTGTCAGATAAGTTTAATGTTTCCCTTGAGGCGTGAAGAAGAAAAAAGGGCTTCCGTTCTCTGGCAGCGAGCCTTTGTTTAAGGAAGGTGAAGGGAAAGTCCTGCCGTTTCCTTGTGCAAGTGCGTCAGTGCTTGCTTGGCCATGGCGCGGTGGCTGTCTGGGAGCTGCTGTCCCCCGTGAGAATGTCAAAGTGGGTAATATCTGAAATGCAAAATAAAAAACTATCCAGACTACCAGCACTTTTTTTGTTTCTCCAAAATTTTAAATTACAGGGCCAGCCAGATAATTCTGATAAGAAATTTGCTTTTCCAGGGCTGGAGTGATGGTACAGCGGGTAGAGCATTTGCCTTGCACGCAGCCGACCTGGGTTCGATTCCCAGCATCCCATATGGTCCCCCGCGCACCACCAAGAGTAATTCCTGAGTGCATGAGCCAGGAGTAACCCCTGTGCATTGCTGGGTGTCACCCAAAAAACAAAACAAAAAAGAAATTTGCTTTTCCTTGGGAGGAAGGAAATGCTTTCACATGGCAGTGTTGGCAACTGTAGTAACAGCACTCTGGCCCTGGCTGTCACACCCACGCGACCTTCCCCTCCTGGGTGCACCTAGAGGGGCTGCTCCAAGCCCACCTTGCTCCTGCTGGCTGTGATGCCCGACACAGAGCCCTTCCTCACAGACCTGCTGAGGGAGGGTGAGTGCCTGAGGGGAAGGGAGTCGTGTGGGGCTTGGCTCTCAGTGCCCTGGTGCCCAGGCTGGGAAAGCTGCCGTCCCTGCAGGTGGCCTGCCCTCGCGACCAGCCAGCCTCGGAGTCTGGCTGCCCCAATGGGGCTTCCCCTGGCCGCCTGCGGGGACCAAGAAGGTTGGATGCAACTGTCCCCCTGCTTTGGTTTCGGGAGCACACTGGGCCATACTAAGGGGTTACTCCCAGCAGTGATGGGGCAGGGGCCTCATGCAAGCCAAGAGCTCTGCCGAGCCACACCTGTCCCTCCCTCTGATTTTTCTAGAAGCTTCAGTTCTCTGGGGGGAGTGGAGTCCATCTTGGTTTCCACTGGCTATAATGTTCCTTCCCTCACAGAGAGGATTGGGGGTGCCCATGGCCCCTGTAGTGCTGTGAGGCCTGGCCCCACCCCCCGCACGTGCTGATAGGGCTGTGTGCATACGTCACCACTGTCAGGGTGCTGAGTCACACCTGATGGGTGCCTTACTCCCTTTGCCGTCTCCTCATCCGGTCCCTCGCACGGGGGTGATCTCAGTGCTCCACGTGCTGGCCTCTCCTCAGACATGCAGCTTCTACTCCAGGGCCCTTACAGGAAACAGTCTCCATGCGGCTGCTGGACCTCCCAGGGCTGGGGGGTCCTCAGCAGGGACCTTGACCCTCCCACTTCGCCCTCGTGACTCTCCGCCAGGCTCCAGTTCCTGAGGTTCCCATGAGGATGTTTTTCACATTGAGAGGCTGTTGGACAGCAGGGGACCCCGACGGAGAAGAAAATGGGGAGAGATTCTGCTGGCCTCGGGCCCCTCCAGGCCCACCCACCTAGGCCGTCGTGCCCCTCAGCTCTAGTGCCTGGGAGTGGAGGGTGATCAGGTCCCCTGGACCACCAGAGCCATGTCAGCATGGAGAGGCTAGAGGGTCCCTGAAGCACTGAGAGGTGACGTGGGTACCCTGTGGTCCAAGAGATGGTGGCTGAGGAGGAGACTCCTGCGGCACCCAGAATCACCCCCACCCTCCTTTCGTGGGGTCGATAGGTTGCTGCTGAAGATCCAGAAGTTTCCTCTCATGCCTTTCTCTGCTTCCTGCCTCAATACCTTCGTCTTAATGTGGCCCGATCCCTTCTTCCGGGGCTCCGTGCTGGCTCTTAGGTCAGGGACAAAGGGAACCCCTCCACAGCCTCTCGTCTAGCTTCAGCCCAGCCCAGGCCGTCTGGCCTCAGCTGAGCAGAGCAGGGGGGTGAGTTGGGGCTGCGGAGCCCAGGGACCCTCTGCTCGGCAGAGCTGCACTGGGCCCCCCCTCCTTCCTATGGGGCTGAGCTGAAGCATTGCTTGGGATGAACAACGGCCGCTACATTCCACTCAGGCCTGTCCCTCCTCCTGGGCCAGGTGCTGGTTTCTTTTCTTTTTTTGGGGGGGGGGGTCACACCCGGTGATGCTCAGGGGTTCTCCTGGCTCTGCACTCAGGAGTTAGTTCTGGCGGTGCTCAGGGGACCATATGGGATGCTGGGAATCAAACCCGGGTCTGCCACGTGCAAGGCAAACGCCCTACCCGCTGTGCTATCACTCCAGCCCCCCAGGCACTGGTTTCTTAGGCTTTGCGTCTCACAGGCTTCCTTCTCATGAGGGTTGAACCAGGAGCATGTCTAACCCATCACCAGGAACGCGACTAACCCATGGCCGAGACCCGAGAGTTTCCTCATCACCATCAAGAGAAGCACGTTCTCCGCTCTCATCCTTCACAAGAAACTCACAAGTTGATTCTAATGTGTGAGTTTCTCGCCTGCTTTTGCAGAGGATCATTCTTCAAAGGGCTTTGAGGGTGGAGTAGGGGTGCGTGCGCCATACCCAGCAGTGCTCAGGTGACCCTGAGGTGCTAAGGATGGATCCGCAGCTCCTACGTGCAAAGCCTATGTTGGGTGTTGGCACTCCCCTAGTCCCCTCCAGGCCTCCTGACCCACATCCTCCACTCCTGGCTTGTTAGGATGTCGCTCCCAGAGGTGCTCAGGGGACAGCACAGTGCCAGGGGTGGAACCCTGGCTTCCCACTCCTCCAGTGTGGAACCTGTGCTTTTAGCCCATTGAACTGTGTCTTGGCCCCCTGAACTATGCAGTCTGCCCAGAAGAGGGAAGCAAGGAGGGGGTAGGGGCATGCAGAGTGGACACTTGTGCCCAGGCATCTCCCCACTCTCCCGACTGGCCTTCTGGTCAACCACTCTCAGAATTTTTGTTTTGTGTTTGTTTTGGGGTGGGTGGCCACCCCTGGCTGTGCTCAAGAATCACTCCTGGCAGTGCTCAAGGGACCATTTGGGGGAAAGAACCTGGGGTGGGTGTGTGCTTTTGCTCCGGCCCTGCTACCTGCTATTCTATTGCTCTGGGCATGGACAACTGCATTTAAATCTGTCTTCGAATCCAACCCAAATGCCAATTTTGCAGGGCTGGACTGATAGTCCAGTGGGTAAGGCACTTGTCTTGCATGTGCCTGACCTGGGTTCGATCCCTGGCATCTGGCATCCCATATGATCCCCTGAGCACTGTCAGGAGTGATTCTTGAGTGCAAAGCCAGGAGTAAGCCCTGAGCATTGCCTGATGTGATAACCCAAAAATGCAAAAAAAAAAAAAAAAAAAGCCAGTTTTGCTGTTGGAAAGAAGTTTCTAGGAGGTTCTGTAGAGCACAACTTTTTTATTAGTGAAACACCATGAGGTACAGTTGTAGACTTACAAACTTTCGTGCTTGGGTTTCAGTTATACAATGATCGAGTACCCATCCCTCCACCAGTGCCCATTCTCCACCACCACCGATCCCGGTATCTCTCCCACCCCCCCTCCCCCGACCCGCCTCTGTGGCAGGGCATTCCCTTTTGTAGAGCGCAACTTCTGAAAGTGCAGAATGCAACCTCTTACAGGTTTATGAATGAATTGAGGGGGAGGAGTGAAAAATTTGGCCTCAGTAAAAGACACTTAAAATCAACTGCATGGGGTCAGAACGGGAGATATAGGAGCAGGTAAGGCACTTGTGATCTCTGAACGCAGATCCAGGACTAAGCCCTGAGCACCACCACGTGGGGCCCCAAGCCCAAAACAACCAAACGAAAATAAAGTCGTGGCTGCAGAAATAGCTCAGCAAGCCCCGAGCTGCATCTCTGAGTCTGAGGGGCCTGGGGGAGGAAGAGCTGAAGAGGCAGAACCTGGGGAGTGATGGCCACTCGGGGTCCACCTCGCTGGTCTTCTGGATGCCGTACAGAGCAGTACAGAGGATCTAGGAAGTGGGGTGTTACTTTCATCCTCAAGGTGACAAGGGGACTTGGAGTGGACCTCAGCCCGGAGGGTTTACCTACAGATCCTCCTGCGGGCTCGTCCTGCGGCCTGCTCATGCCCCCTTGAACTCCCTGGTTTACACCCAGGCTTCTAGTCTGTGCCACCGGGCCCTTCCCTGGGGCTGGCACTCTGTGCGCCCTCTTGTGGCCACAGACCCAAGGTTCCTTCTCTTTGGGAGTGCTCTAGGGCCTG